CTGCATCCGAGCACGCCCTGTGGCTGCTGAGACCGAGAGGAAGGTGGAGTGCAGCTGTGCTGGCTGAGGGTGGCCCGTGTCACCCTTGTTTCCTGTCTCGTGGGGGACACATCTTCTTTCCTTAGGGCCTGCACATGGCTGGAGATGCCAACTGCCCAGATCTGGCCTGACTCCCAGGCACAGGGAGGGCGAGGGCAGACCCCCGGGGGTTTGCCCGGGGCAGGATCGGGCTCTGTGGTGAAGGAGCATGGAGCTGGCCACAGCCAGCAGTCTCCCTGGACACCATGTTCGTGGAGGAGCATGAGCCGTGCAGACAGGCCTGACGCTTCATGGACAGCAAACAGTGGCCTGTTGTCAGACATGCAGAGCCCTCTCCTGACCGTGAGAGGCCCATGAAGAGTGGCCAGGGGCCTCTGGTCGCCCCTGAGGCAGGTTCTTGGGTAGGGCAGGAAAATAAGCAAATGTAGCTGACCTGGAACTGCCGCCTTAGTCCCAGGCCCCTCAGAAAATCCACGCACCAGGCGGAGCCACAGCTTGGAACTGAATGGCCGGCACGTCCCTCCCCCGGCACCGCCTGGCGCGGACTCAAGGGCTTGGTGGGTCGGGGGACGTCCTCGTCTGGCAGAGGGAGGTGCACATGGGGCTGGGCCCAGGGACCCGCCCCACAGCAGGCTCTTCTGGGGTGTCTGATGCTCTGACTGAGGAAGAGCCGAGGCCAGCCCAGGGAAGACGGAAGCCCATCTCCAGAGGGGACACAGGTGACCAGGAAGTGGCAGGGGTCTGCCTGGAGCTCAGGCCCCTGAGGTGCTGTGGAGGACAACAGGAGCAGGAGCAGGCAGCGGCTTGTTTACCCCCACAAGGGCCCCGCTGCGTCCACTGCCTGTTGACCAAGGGATGTGGCAGGTCAGCGTGGGGAGGGGGCACAGCTCTGCCCTGGAGGGCACCAGGGTGCCTGTCTGTCTGTCCAGCCGGCGGGCAGGCAGAGTGGCAGGAAGACAGCCCCAAGGCACGTGGGTTGGAGCCCCAGTGTGGGTGGGTCTGGAGTCCACTCTGGTGGCCGCAGTTCCCTGTGCTCAGTGTCGGGCTGTGGGAGTAGACAGGGACCCCCAGGTGGGGACAGATGGCTTGCTGACGCAGGGCAGAGTCAGGCAGGGAGGACGGAGGGTGGGCCCCAGCAGGGCTGCAGCTGGGCAGACTGCCCGCTCTTGGGGCCAGGTCGGGCTCTGTGTGGGTCCAGGGCACAGATTGGTGGCAGTGCTCCCAGAAACACCCTCAGAGAGTGAGCCAAAAGGCCAGCACAGATGACCTGGCCCAGCAGAGCAGAGGACGGCACCGGGCTCCCGCGCCTGCCTTCCCCCGTGGCGCACCAGGAGGCTCCTGGTCTGCCCTGGGCCTTTAGTGTCCAGTCATCAGGACAGGGAACTGTTTCCACCTCCCTTGGCGGTGGCAGGAGGGAGCCCAGGAGCTAAGGACTGCCACCCTCGAGTGTACCGTCTGGGCTGGCACTGCTGCGCAGGGACGGGGGACCGCGAATGAGACGGGAGTCCTGATGGTGTCCAGCCGGCGGGGCAGGGGAGGGCCGCTCACACAGGGTAGGAGCAGTGAGAGCCGGCAGCGCCTCTCTGAGAGGCATTTGCAGGAGCCTCAAGGGGAGCAGCTGTGGCCACGCTGCCTGGGACGTGCTCCAGCCTGAGGAGCTGTGGGAGGCTGGCCTGGAGCCTGGGGACGCAGCCTGTGGGCCGGGCACAGGTGGCCTTCCCTCGGGAGCCACCTGCGTCTGCACAGGGCCCTGCAGGTGCTGGGAGGCTGAGGACAGGTCCCCGGTTCCTCCTAGAGCCCGGGCCATGGCGAGGGCAGGGGCCCAGCTGACCTGGCCCCGCAGTGGACGTAGTCAGAGCTGGACCCTGAACCTGTTCTGAAAGCAGATCCCATGGACCTGCTGCCAATGGCCTGATAGGGAGGAGGCAACAGTGACCCAAGGGTGACCCGGGTGGCCGAGCAGATGAGGTCAGAGCTGGGGCAGATCGGGTTTGAGGCCCAGCTGTTGCTCAACCCGGGCTACCCCACCGGGTCACTGCTCCCACCTCTGGACTCCCACCTTTCACTCCATCCATGGGCCAGCAGGGGACATCACCTGGGCAGGTGGGCCGTGCTGTGAGAGTGGGTCTGGAGCATGCTTGGGCCTGGACCTCACCACCCAGGTCCTCCAGTCCCACACCTGGCCAGGTGTCTTAGCACCAGCACTGCCCTATCCCTCGCTGTTTCCCCCGGCCCTCTGACCCGGGCTGGTGCGTCCCCTGAGTCCTGCACTGCCCATGGGACTCTGAAAGGCTCATCTGGTCAGCCCTCTCCTGAGACACCTGTGTCCAAGAGCTGCTGCCTC